AGACAACGCTGATAACAAAAGGAGCTACAGCCTCATCTTTTAAGAGCTTTGGTGGATGATATTTCGAATTCCATGAGGAAAGCAGTAGAAACCAATGCAACCAATGGGGCTTGTGCTCAATAATTCACTGTGTAACAGAAACGGGAATACCAGCTGTTCTTGACCACTTCCCACAATACTGGTTTATTTGTTGAAACTGAAAGGAACTGGGAAAAGACCATTTCCCTGCTGCTACCAGAGACCATCACCTAAACCAGGCATCATTTCTGTCAGTGAGGCAGCTCATTAACATCATCCACAGAAGTGCTGTCCTCTCTTACCTTCACTTGTTTCCACCAGAGCAAAGAAGTTGTTTCATTGATTTGGAAGTTTCCCCTAATTCCTTTACTACTAAACAAATCTCCTGAGATACTCTCAGCACCCTGACAATGATCGTTTCATAACCACTGAAGTAATTAACATCATGGTAGGCTTCCCTGTGCCCCAGAGATTCCACATGACAAGAATGATACAGTGAAGTGACCACTGTTAAAAGGCTAAGAATTTTGTTGTGTAGTTCAGTCTTTCAGAAAACAGTTTCAAGCTTAAAAATCAGGAAAAGCAGGCTTCTATAAGAAGCTTGCACATGGACTGAACAGGCAGAGATTCCTCCCAACTGACAAACCCGTGGTACACAAATGTTTCTGCTGTCAAGTTGCACACACCATTGCACCCCCTGCTCCTGGGGAGAGGATGAGAACAAATGATGTGATGGATGTTAACAGTGCTGATTGGTACAGATAGCAGAGAGCACTGAGACACCAGGATCACAAAAAAAAAAATATTTCATATTAAAAAAATAAAGATTATCATGAGAGCAATCAGTACAAGCATGATGAACCCAGATCATGCAGCAGACAGAAGCTGAGTAGGATACCAGCTGTAAAGATTAGCTCCTAAAAGCAAGTGTAGTAAAGCAGTTCAATATCTTTTTCAGTCATCTCTTTGATTTAATAGATTTCTATCTTGATAAGGTTAAGACTTGCTTAACAATTGTCTGATTAAAACATACTAAACCTGGGAAAATTAAAAGAAAGCCTTTTTAGTAACCTCGAGATGAGATGGGACTTTTCAGCCAGGCTTCCACGCAATAATTTCTACGACATTCACCTCAGGATTCCAAAGCACTTCACAGTTGTTTAATTAAGCTTCAACAGAGCACAAACTCCCCATTTTACAGCTGAGGTAACAATGACAGGGAATTTGGAAAAGACTAGTTAATACTGAGCAGAGCTAAATGTTTTGTTATTTTACCCAAAAAAAATGGATTCCCAACACCTACAGGTTAGATTTCTTTCTCCCCTACCCATTTTGGCAATTTCTGAAGTAAAACTCAATGTGTGACGCACAACCTGCAAGCTCACCATCATCTTCCAAGCTGCTGCCCATCTATCTTACAAATCTGTTCCTACCTGTTCCCATCACTCCAGCCATCCCTACGCCCTTCGTCCCCAGTGGACCAATTTAAGCTTCCCTTCTTCTGGTTGAAAACTTAGATAAGGCCAATCATTAAAGAGTTTGACATTTTTGTGTTTAATCCACAACAGGTCAATGACAGAGTGATTTCCAAAGCAACTACTACTCAGCAAAGGATTTGCATTTCTCCTCAACACAGGCAAGTAGTTTATCTGAAGTCATCCCAAGATATATATAGACTATATACTATAACTTAGTATATAGTTTAGATCCTAAACTATATACTTAGTTATTTGGAAGAAAGAGGGAAGGGAGCAAGCAGGAAGAGACTTTGATTTATCAAAATGAAAGTGATTAAAATATTGCATTGCTTGCATCCTGCAAGCAACACTAGATGCTGAAGAGCATTTGGTGAGGATACTCAGGGGTTGTAATAACTTGGGGAGGGCAAGAGAAAGAGACACTACAGAAAAACACTTATTCGTTCTTCATCGAGCTCATTTATTAGGTTTGAGCAGGCAGCTTTCCTTTAGGAGGTAAAATTATGGGGGTCAAATTATGGCATCCCACTGTCACTAGCAGACCACTTTGTGGATGGCAAAAGATAAGGAACAAGCAGAGAAAATGCTCCGGAAAGCTCCACTCAGGAACCTAGAAATTTGCATTTGATAGAAGGGATTTAAATTGCATTAGAAGGCAAGGTGCACTAAACAATTACAGTTTATTACTATGTTGGTTGACTGCCTGAACCTGTACTTATCACACAGTGCAGCAGCAACGGAGCAGCAGCGCTCAGGGCACTTGAGCTGTGTGCATATTAATAGGAGGGTTAGCTGAGCAAACAGGGAAGGGGCCAAATGCTTCTGAAAACAAAGTGGCTTGCAGATTTTACGGACAGATCAGAGTAATTTGGGTCTTAAGTCGCCTTTCAGAGAAAAGTTTTCCATTAGCCAAACTGGATTTTCGGCACAGTGCTTGGAAGAGAACATTCTTTGCTATACCGCAGCATATAAGCTCTGCAACGGCTCTGACCCAAGAGAGAGACACATACCCTGCAGCAGCTGATCCAGAAAGACATTACAGACAGACCATCTCCCGTCACAGCTGGAGCGGGGCCAAAGACACTCAGAGTCTATCTGCTTCGTTTGTTGTTATGATGCATACGAAGGCTACAGTGAGAATATTCATACTGGTCAAAATTCAATATATGACACCTTTTTTTTTTTTCCCCTTCCCATCTAGTTTTCACCTTTGATGAAAAAACTTCCATCTTTGATGAAAACCTGAAGGCTGCCATATTACCATATGCTTCCTTTCTTTAGCTAGGGGAAGTAAACAGACACAGCTTGGCCATTCCTCTGAATCCCTCAAAACCACCCTGTTTGTTCACATAGGCCTCCAACCTTCCTCATCCCCTCCTCATGTATTGAATTCAGGTCAACTTGTGCCCTTACTCATCCATACAAAAACGCCAGAGCTTCACCATCCAGGCCTCCTTACACATGGAACAGAGACTCAAACCTGCTTGATTGCTGGGGAAGGAAAAATTGAACAGTATTTCTATGTCACAGAACCCGATGAGGCCAAAGGGGAGCAGCCAATCTTCACTCTAACTTTTACTAAGCTGTGACAACGGTGAGGGAAAACACAGAGAAAATTGAATGAAAACTGTGGGATGCCATGAGAAGAACACTAAGTCTTATGGCACAAGCACATAGGGAAAAGTGCATCAGACTTCATATATCAATACTCATTTTAAACCAAAAGCTTGAATGTATCTCTCGGAACGTGCCCTGCCTGCGTAGGATCCATCTGAGTACACCTACTTCACTGAACAGCAAGGAGAAAGAAACTATTCCTTTATGGATTAGCATGGGGTCAGAAGAACAAACTAATGGACAAATACCTGGTACCAGCAGGACAATGCTCCACGGCCACCATGCCTTCAGTAGCGCAGCTTGGGTAAGTTTTACTTTTCACTTCTGCAAAAAACGTGTCCTACTGCTTCACAGAGTGACTCAACATTTATCCATAGCATGAGACTGTGCAACTAATGCCCTCTGAAAGCACTAATGTGCTAAATGGCACCAGGGACAGGAAGTTATCGGTGTTAATTCACTTCAACTGGTTTAACAGTTACATGGAATAGAACTGTCTATACGCAAGACACTTCCTCAGAGAGTTCCCTCTTCCTGAAAGAGGAGCGTGCAGCCTTTCAACCTGCTTTCCCACTAGCATAATTGCTCACCAACTGCTTTCTCAAATCAATTATGTTGCCTCAGCATTAAAGGATGGAAGGCAGAGCAGACCAACTTTTTGTTTATCTGTGCATGCTGGCAGGTTACAGTCATATGTTCTGCCATCTGTACTGCTATCTTTATCCTTTATCCAATCATAACAGGTAAAATGGCACTGGTGTAACTGAATCTGTTCGCTCGGTTAGGGATGAAGCCAGAACAGGCATTTGCTTTTTCCCCCCCTTCTGAAAGGAAGCAGGAGATGGACACTCTTGCCCTTTTAAAGCATTCTGCTCTTCAATAGATGGGCAATTTGCCCCGGTCTGCTAATGTGGGATCTGTTCAATGCAAGGCTGAAAAGGTTCCATCCCCGGGGAAAGCATCGAACTGCTGATGAACATTTGGTGGCCTTTAGCAAAAACGATGCGGTTTCTGCCAACAGGATCCCAGCAGACTGGGAAGGACAGGCTCCAAATTAGGTGGGATTGTGATGCAGGAACTTCAGAAGGCCTGGGCACGGTACATGAGGAGCTTGCTGACTAGCTCCTGTCTTTCCCCCTCCGCACTCCTTATTCACATTTTTAAAATCACAAGTATATTGGCAAATGTCATGGCTGCATTCAGGAGAACCTGGATGCAGGCAGGGTATGTGAAGATGACCTTTCTTCTGACACAAAGGCTGCCACACTGGGTGGGTTTCTTTTAAAATTTGACAGTATTAGAAAATTTATGACTAAAGATGCTTGAAACCACTTTGAAAGCATGTCTGTAGGTCAGTAGTAGTTTCTGCCCTTCTCAAGGACAAACAAACCAAAGCAAATTTTCTAGGAAAGAATTCCCTTTGTTCTGGATGGGACGCTTTTAAATCAACACTCACCTTCACTCTTCAGACCCCTCTCTGAACACTAGGGCATAATGCTTTCTCAAGCTGTTCTGTTCATGGGACTAAATAGCTTTAATTATTTAATATGAATTGGCTTCAGCTGAAACCAGAGCTGATGTCAGATAGGAACGTCCGTCAGACCCATCTGTCTTCAAATTAATGTCTTTTCATGGTCTCAGAAGAACTACACCATCTTGCTTAATCGTGGAGGTCAGGGTTTGTTTGGGGTATTTCTGGGGAGGAGAGGGCGAGCAGGGGGATATTAATGGTTCCCTTTTGGCAACGCAGGTCAAAGCCCCACTTCTCCAAAACCCTGTCCAACCACCATTACACCTTAAAAATAGAGTACAAATATTTGTCACATAAAACCAGTTTTCATTACAAACATGAACACTGTGTAGTATGCATTTCCAGGTGAATTGCTATCAGGAGTCTGAAACAGTGCCAGAAGCTTTTCGGTACATGTTTCTGTATATTTTCTCGAGACTCTCTTCAAAGATTGCTCTGCGAGGCTTTCCTTTGTATGCAGCTGCACGACTAGACCAATATTCACCATTATCCAATTGAACAGTACAGTTCTGCTGCACTGGTGAGCTGTCAACAGAAAGAAGATAAGAAATAATGACCAAATCGAGATCAGGAAGAGGAATTGGAAGCACAAACCCAGCAGAAATCCAAATGTAAAGCTGCTAAATACAGACTACCTTTCACAAACTGAAACAAAAACTGCACTGCAGCTCCTCCTAAGAAACGTGAGCACCCCATTATTCATTCACACAAATCCTCCCCCATTTATCTGAGTGCATTTGATAACACCTCCCAAACAGAAAGAGAATTGATTTTCAAAGAGCATGCAGTAATTTTGCCATATTTTGACTAGGCACTAAGCCTGTGCAAGAGCAACACAGTAGGAATTTTGTGTCCTTTGAAGGTTAAAATGGAACCGCAAGCAGCTATTACAATATGAAGACAATCTATCAGAGGCATATTAAATTACTGTGGTTGCAGCAGCTGTAAAGTGCTCTATCGGAAGCATCTTGGATTAAGTATTCTACCAAATACATTATGATATAGTGGCAATCAAGTGTTCCTTCCCCACCCCATCTTCTGTGTCGCTGTTTTCATACAAAACACAAATACATGCTCATATTTCAGTTGCTTTGAGATATCATTTGCTACATCTTTGAAGTGAAACTTATTCTCTGAAAATCATTACAAAACACTGACAAATCTGAAATATGAATATCTAAACTTCATGACTATTTGCCTTCTGAAACTTTCAAAACAAAGGCTTGTGTCATATAATGAAATTTATATTTTCCTGTAATACAGCATGAAACCAAGAGCTCAAAAATCTTGAGCAAAAACTGACTCCTCAGGTGACATTTTTTCACATCTGCCTCAGATTTAGGCACTTAAGATACTTAAAAAATACAAGTGAGTTATCTTCAGCCTTTCACGAATGTGCTTAGTCTGAGAAATGGAAATGTGAAGCTTACGGTGACCGTCACCACTTAGGGAAGCTTTCCATTCTCTTATATACATATAATTTATTCGTCTGCTACGGCCAAACCAGTACTTAAAGCTTTGTTCTGAAGTTACTATCTGTAAATGCTTGTTACAAAACTGAAAGAAACATCACATCAAAGGACTTACAAATATACTTCCAGCTAGCTGCATCAAAACACAATGTTTTCACTTAAAGAAAGGAAAATTATGAGGGAAGAAGAGGAAGATGTAGCACCAGTTTTCTAAAGCCACATTTCTAAGCTTCCACTGTCCCATGGAAAACAAAAAAAAAGCAATCGCTTTTTAGATTTCTTACATTCAAATATTAGGTGGTGCAAACCTTTACCATGTAAAACTATAACATCATCTCTGTGTGGATCCAATATTAAAGAGGGAGGGAAACCACTTCCCCATGTCTTCAAAAAAAAAGCTCCCACATTTCAAGTCAGTTAACAGCATGAAGCTAATTTAAACCTGTTTCTCATCCTGGAGAGGATGAACTGGGCTTCACAGTTTGGACACAAAGAAATCAACCTACCAAACAGCAAAATCAATGGAAAAGTTATACAGGCTTGTGTTAAATGCTAGACAAATCAACACTCTGGAGACCCATCAACCACTGAAGTTTCACCTCCTCCTTTCTGCAGCACAGTACCTCACTTCTGATGGAGAATTCTCAGGCCAAAAAATAAGCACAGCACTAGGAGTGGCACTTGTAACAATACAACAAACAGCTCTGACACTCTTCCTTGGAATCCATTCCCTGCAGTCAGCCTTGCGCTTGCCTTTTCTTCTACCAAAAGCTTAATCTACACAGAGACACTCAAAATTCAACAACCTTAACCGCAGTAAAGGAAAGACTCAAAAGCCAAGAGTAACTTTCACAAGTTCGTTATTCTGGTACTGATAAAGCCTTTGAAAAAGACATAAGCTTAATTTGCCTTTCTTTTTTTTTGGAGGGGATGTGTTTGTGTTTGTATTTCCATTAGCCAGTCCTTGCACATGAGATCCTTAGGCACTGGTGTGGACAAAGATACAGCCAAGCTAGGGAAGAGTCCCTCTTCTGTCTTAACTGGAAACCAGCTGACAACCTGAGCTAAGCAATCTGGGAATTACACTCACAAATCATATTAACAGCAGGATTTCTGCACGCAACTCCCTGCTCGAAATACCTGTCATATGCTTTTGTTCCCTCATACATCTCCTTTAAGCGTCCCAGAAGTTCTTTTCTGAGTGAATCATATACTAAATATTTCACAAAACACGGACCTTTTCCTTACTCCCAGTGGTTTTCAATCATCTGTCTGCTTTACTGCCAACATTTGGTCGACAGTACCATGTCCTTCTATGAACTCTGTCTCTGTCCTTGTATCCCGTTTATGAGCACTGTGGCAAACACTCAGCAGTCAGACTGTCCTCCAGTCCTTTTATGTCTTGCCCTTCAGCAAATGGGACTAGTGCTGCCAGCCTCTAAACGCAAGGAGCAGTCCCTTCCCAACTTGGGTCCTGCATTTCATATCCCATCAGTTCAGGTTTCTGTAGTATTAAGGTTTAGTTTTTGTTTTTGTTTTTTTTTTCTTTTTTCACGGTCTGCAGTTTCAGCATCAATCTCCAAGTCCCAAAGCTGCCTCAAAACAAAAACTTGCACTTTCTCTCTCAGAAACACATCCTACACAATTTAATTGCAGTAGCTGTCAGGACAAAGGATAATGGAACAAGAGGGCTACACGCAGAACACAGGAGTGAGCACAGGTTTAAAGACTAACAACTTCTGCAGTAACTTCACATACATGTGAAAATCTAACTAGATCCCTTGCAGAGGTGGTTACAAATTGCAAGATTTCTTTCAAAAGCAAACAAACCATAAATGAACTTTCTAGAGCTTACTAATTGCTAGTTCACTATGACAGCCACACTGAAATACCCTCCTTTCAGTGGTATACAGTGGTGATTTGGGAAGCCTTTGTTACAAATATTGCAATACATTTAATCATCAAAATAAAACCCTTTTTTCCCTAAGGTCAAGGCCTCTCAAATTTAGTACTACAGTTCTAGGACTCATCTCTTAATATAAAGAAAACCAGAAAAGCCATACAAACCAAAAAAATGTTTTACATTACTTAGTATCTTTCCTCCAAGGAGTACCCAAAACATTGTACAAAATACTGTGTGCATACATAGAGAACATCAATATTGATAACTTCTACTACAGAAGCTGTCAAAAGAAACTAAATTTTTGTATTTTAAGTAAAATATTAAAATTAAACCCTAGTCATACATGTAACACGTGGACAGAAAAATCAGCCTACATAAACGTAAACTAGGTTTTCCAGATCTCAGGCTTTCATGTTATCTTCTGAAATACAGCATGCTGAATCACTAAACCACAGTACATATATTCGCTGCCTTTTTTGAAGAGGCTCTTCTCTTCCAAATATGTGTTTTGGAAAAAAAGAACAAAATAGCCCCAAACCATATTACTAAACAAAACTTCAATTTATTTTTGTACTCCCATAGTTTGAAGAAAAAAATAAGCAATTTGTTATTTTTGAAGTGATATTTTCTCTCTGGCTGATAAAATCCAAAAACCACTGCCCAAGGACTATTTTTATGACCAAGTCAAATTCCAAAATCCGTGCTTTATGGTTTATACTGACACAGTGCCAAACAGCATGAAAGGCATAATTATAGTTAACTGTATTTTGCTTTTAGGTGAAAAAGCTTGGTAGGACTAAGTCCTAGAGAAGCCTTTTCCCAGTGCAAAAACATAGCTCAAAATAGGAAGAGAAATTTTTAGCTAAATTTAAAGGGCAATACCATGAGTATGATTATTCTGTCCTGGTGAGAGAAAAACTCCGTACCTGCCCTGCAGTTCACTCACGGACAAGGGAGCTTTGGGAGAAGATTCTCTTGTCTTAGTCACGTCTCCTTTTGATGAGTTACTCTCATCCTAAAAAAAACAGAAATCAAACTCTCATTACTTTGGTTTCTGATTACAATGATCTCATTTCAAAAATACTTTCTTTCCATTTAGTAGAAGACTATTAAAGTGCTTACATTTCTTGGGGGAGAAAGGGACAAAGTGTAATGAGCCAAATGCCATTTATGAACACTTTTAATTAAGTTCAGTACAATTCAGCTAATAATTTTCAGGTAATAAACTGGAAAGAATTTCTAGACAGTGTAGAACTAGAGAACTACGCAGACAGCACAAGCTTCAATAATCCCCAACAAACATGTTGGTAAAATGTTATGAAACTTACTACTCACTGCCTTAATTTTGTTTCTTGTAGAAAAGGGGAAAAAGAACCTAAAGCTTATTTATTAGCTTTCATAATGAGCTACTGTTAACCATTGAATGCATTTTACCAGACAGAAGGATTCTACACATCTGAATAGTTCAATTTCATATACAGGGCTGAGAATATGCTTACCCAACTTTTAAGAAATATCTACGATACACTTAAGGATCCTTCAATGGTGTTTTTAGAGTTGCTAGAAATCAGTCTTACCTTCCAAATGCTCTCTAAGCATTAATTAACCCATATTTGCCCTCTTAGGTAAGACAGAAACAAAACACTTCATGTGAAGGGAGCCAGTTGCTCACCTTAGACAGGATAGTAGAAAGTTCACCACACACAACCATGTTTCCTCTACTCTGAAGAGCAAAGACACCACTTAAGAGGTGATACTAAGGGATGCTTTCAGCAGAAGCTAATTGCTGTAAGGATTAGTAAACTAAAATCTTCCATGCTACAGAAGAAACTGGAAAAAAAGACCGTGTGGTAAAAATAATCACACTTGGATTTACTTGCTGGAAACACAAAACTGGAAGAAAAGACAATAAATATAGTACTAGATGGCAATAAGATGCAAGCTGCATCTTACAGCAGGCATATGGATGAGAAAAAACCTAACACAATTTATTGTGGTGAAATACAAGGTAATAAGTGTGTTTGTAAACAGGAAAACTCTCCTCCTTCTGTAGTCAGAGACTTCAAAGCAAGGAGGAAATGAGGTACAGTGGTAAATAAAACTCTGCAACATTTGCCAGAAGCAAATTATTTTCCGGGAAGTAAAAAAAAAAAAAAATAAAAAAAAAAAAATGGAAACATTACAATATTGTCAGAATGTCACAGAAGAAACTACAGTGGACACCCTAAGGACTCTGCAGCAGAGCTCCAGTCATGCTATTTTTACAGAGCACTATGGAAACAGAATTTTGGAGAACACAGCTGGATACTTCTGGGAACAGTTATTTAGCATTAGACTCTTTGGAATGAAACAGAATACAAGATACTTCTTAACCTTTCAAAGTTTAGATGATGATCCACACTGGAGGCCAAAATCTACTCACCTCATTGCCAGTGCACTTGTTTTACCATTCCCTCACTTCCAAGATGACCCATTTACCTGACCCATCCACTATGGAAAAATGCAGCCTAGATTTTGGGCTATCTGAGGAAGCACAACCAATCCTGTCATATTTTACAGTACTTACAGCAAGTAGACCTGATTATTTTTAGCACAGCTTTCACAAGTTAGTTGTACACAATTATCAAACACCATGAGACTTCTCTGTAACATCCTTCCATTCGTTTTGCTGAATGGAAAAAATGGAGTGATAAAAATGGAACTTTTCTATCACTGTTCTGACCAGGTAGGTAATTAAACACTCAAAAATTTTACCTAATACCCTGATATCTGGACTATTTTAGGGCAGAAACATGCCATTTTCCAACAGGTGAGGAAACAGAGAAGCATCCTCTGATTATTAATCCCTGTGAGTATTCAGCAAGGATTTGATGCTGGAAGTGACAGGGCACCTAACAGAAAGCACCATGCCTCAAGAATCCAAACCCATGCTTGCAAATTTATATGCATTTGTGCAATACTGCAGTAACAAATGAATATGAGCACGTGTAGGTCATTCTAGAGAAGAATGTTTTCAATTATGTAAGTAAAATAATTAAATAGGAGGAAAATGATCAAATTCTCCTTTATCTATTATTAAATGTAACGGTCTTTATGACTGTATGGAGGGACTGTGTAACCAGCTGTCCACCTCTCCTAACAAACTAGTAAATCTTTTATCGTAAAGTCACGGTCTACTGTTCAAGGAAAGTAGTCAAGGACCACTGGAGATAGTTCAGGCTGTGCAAACTTTCATTACATGTAGGTGCTGGACCGTCATGAAGTCCAATTTGTTATCTTAAGTTCATTGAAACATCAGAGAAGCATTTGACATGATTTGTATCTATTTTGGAGTGGCTGAAACACAGAAAAACGTGATGGGCATCTTCTATTTGAGAGGCAGCAGCTCACAAGTTCGTAATGTTCGTATACAAACTCAGGGAGCTACAGCATAAACCAGATCAAACATTCTGGGCAAACTCAGAGTTCAAAACAAAAAAGGGAAAGGTTGACAGCTGGGCACAGCAGTACATTAGAACTGCAGCAACATTCCAAAGCAGATTTTTGTCAGCACTCCTTTTTCTGCAGGGAGAAACTGAAGCAAAAAAAAAGGTCTTTCTCCACGTTGAGAGACTCATGTCTCCTCTAACTGATCAATAACATTCATGTGCTGGATTGTCAGACAAAATAATAATTTCCTCAGAGTTCCTAATCTTAATACCTCTCATCCTTAACATGCTTTTATCTTACCTTTCCTTTACCACACCTCACACTTAAGACCCTAAGTTCTTTGCAGCTGAACAACCTTGCTACTCAGTTTGCACAATGCTTTGGCCAGAGAGGTCCTCAGACTCAAGGACAATATACTCTGATCCCTGGCACAATCTCATTTAGATAAAGAGCTCTGCTCATTCGAAGTCAGGTAATTAAGGGAAAAAAGCATTTATCTAAAGAATAGTATTAGCTCTGCAGACAGCTGGGCACAAGCAGCTGCTGATGTGCAGCTGCACATGTTAAGACTCGATGTTCTACAGATCCATAATATTTTTTGCTTAAGTTGGAAGTGGAGAACCAGATATAACAAAAAAAACCACCCTTAACTGTCCTCAATGACCTGTGAGAGGGTTACTTATATCAGCTGTCCATAAAGGCTACATGTAAGGAACTGAAATCAGTCTGAAACAGTTCAGTTATATACTGAATCCACATTTCTACAATCAAGGCTGCCTCAAAGGACAACATCATAATAAATCCAAGACAGGAGGCACAGTTCTCTTCCTCAGCTATCCTGAAGAAGAGAAAGGATGTAGTTTGCAGTTAAACTTACAAATATTAGGCGCTGTCTAGCACTGTGTGTCCTTAAAATATTTTTCACTCTTTTATGGATCTCATCTCCATTTGCTGGTGAAGGCCAACCAGAGCTAAATCTGCAAGAGGAAGAACAAAAACAAAGAGAAGAAATATTTTCTTGTGGAAAAGCTCAAACTTGCTTTTGACTCAGATTTTTTTTCTTTTTTTAACTAGGAAGCATGCATTACTTCCTGCTACTTGGAACATATACAATGTTTAGATTTGATTCTTTTTCTCCTCTGGGGTACCAGTAAAGAAACATTTCAGAGCAGTGCATGAACAGTATACATCCACAATATCAACAGAAGATGCAAAACAGAAAATGTTGATGATTTTGTAACTTGAGTAATATTTCTGTAATGTTTGTCTTGTCCTTACAGAATAGAAAAGCCATATGGTTATCCTATTCCCAGTGATCAGGTTTCCTTTTCCTCTTTTGAAAGAAAGTATTACAGATATGAAATCCTTTTCACTGGAATAAATCAATAGGAAAATAATCCCAATGCCTGTGTATTGGAAAGCCCATGGAGTTAAACCTATAAATTGACAATCTTTATTCCACAAGATGGAACTGCACTTTAAAGTAGCTTTTTTACATTAAAAACCCAGTAGCTCGCTTGATAAGAGTGACTTAAAACCAACAGCTACCTTTGGGTTTTACGCTTTTCTGTTTTGCAGGACATTTTTTCCCCTCTTTACTGGAAAAAAACTCAAACCAAACCAAACACCCAACCTCATCCTTCTCAGCAAGTTTGGAAGCTGGCAGAAATTTTGTATCAATAGTTATTCTTAGAATGCTAAGGGAGGCAACTAAGATTTTAAGAACAGGATCATTCACACACCAACCACATGTTAGTACACACAAAAATGTCAACATAAGGAAATAATTATTGGGGAAAGGTTATGAAATGTTTACTTACATAACCTCATCACAATAGACAGAAACAGGGCACCAAACCAAGATTCTGCATCGTCATTTCAATGTCTCCTAACCTCTGAGAACCTGACGCTGCAGCAAGAAAATAACAAGCTCATGACGCGGTACCATGCTAACATGAATATGGGTCACCAGCCAAGCTGTGAGCTGGCAAGTCATCCTGCTGCAATGGGAGCTAACGCAACACCCCCCAGCAGCAGTACTGGGCTGTCCTGCCCTGCGTAGATTAGGAGCACAAGAAACAGTGTCATGCTTTGATAGCTGGCTTCACAAACTTGATGCAGTGGAAAAAGATCGTGACTCTGAAGGCCAAGATTCCACAGCAGGCTCTGGATGGGGTTGTGGCACTGGGACTGCAAGCCTGTTTGCCACCTTCTCTCCAAATTCTCACATTACTTGCATTATCCAGTTTATCACTCTGAAATCCCCATTCTGATCATTCCTGCCTTAGTTTATCTTCATCAAACTTATAGAAATTTCAGTACAGCTTAAGCACTGTACAGGTCCTTCCAAAAAGAAAAAAATCAAGTATACAAAGAAGTTTCAGTCCAGAACAAGTAACGTGGCAATCTTAAAACGAATGGAAGCAGGATCCTGGAAATGTGACACGCCAGCCTGCTTTGAAGGTTACAGCTCTTTGTCATCTTTTGGATCATTCCTTCTATTACCAACCAGAGAGATGCAGAAGGAGAAGTAGAAAGTAACCTGTTCTCTATTTCTGAGTAGCTTTCTATTATTTTCTTGTATCTAATCGACTTATTTGGACCTTTCTGAAATCTCTTTCTCTTTTCTAAACAGCCCCAGTATTTTCAGCCTATTTATGAGTTTCCTTAAATCAAATAACCTATTTCTGAATGCTTCTATTTTTCCTTTGAGAAAGGGTGCCAAGAAATGACACAATATTGGAAGGACGAATCACATAATCTATAGGGGGATATTTTCCATATTTCTAATGAAATTTAACATTGTTTATGGTGGGATCATTACAGGCAAAAATGTTCACAAAGTTGGCTCTAATGTTCATATTAGCATCCTGAACATTTACAATTCATTTCAAACCCAATAGCACGTATGGCAAATCTATACTAATGTTCTGTTGCACTAAAAGATCTTGCATAACTTTTTCTAAAAGAAAGCAGAATGGTTTGTGAATTTTGTAGGGGAAAAAAGCATTGTCTTTAAAGTAATAGAAGTTTAAGTCCCTTAGGCAGGTAGGAAAATCCATTCCCCTAACACAGGCAAACCCAGTTTGATGTACTGCATTACAATGCATGCGCTCTATTGCTAGAGGTGTTTTGAAAAAATTTAAAAAAAAAAAAAAATAAAAGAAGAGAGGTAAAGGAAAGGGGCTGAAGTGATACTACCATCTTATGAATTTCCATTAGCATTTACAAATATTTAGTAATATTAAAGAACCTCCAAAATTCACGTTTAAAAATCTGCATCCTAGATGGGATAAGAGTGAGTCATTTCCCATTTGACAAAATAGACTCATGAAGTCATAGCATTTTCTCTTATTTATACAGCAGCTGCTGTTCTTCCAACATCCAGGTTGCTGGCACTGAGAAAAAACGTTGGAATAGATTGCCTTTGGGAAATAAATTTTATGAAATTCGTATGTAAGATTTCAGATCATTGTTATTAATCTTAAATTTACAAATATCCTTGGAGATAAATGTATTTACTATTGGAAAAAAGAAAAACCAGTTTGCTATTGTATTCATTTAGAAAATATGTGGTTATGTCTGCAAGAAGAAGATTTAAGTACTTAATTCAAGAACTATTAAATTTTTCCAGGTGATTTTATGGATCCATCCACTAGTGTGCGCTGTGGCATAAGAAACGTCTGCCACTCACACATACCCCAGACTTGATTTACCGAAAAAAGAAAGAAAAAAGAAATAAAAATGGTAAGTGTGATTAAAACCAATATCAGCTTCTTTTTAGTTAGCTTTTCTAGTATTGTCATTGTCTAATTTTAGTAATAACTAGAGCCTAATCCACATTTAAACTCATAATGTTAATATTTACCCCAACCAAAACTCAACCTAAAATAAAATAATGCTTGAAATGCAACAACCATAATGTGAAGTGAAACCTTTTCATGATATTCTAACTCTCATATTGGAAATATTTTATAAACAGGCTTTATAGCACAGCTTCTTAAGAGTATAAATAAAGGGATTCCATTCACCCAAAATCACCAATAATGTATTTTTAAAATGACTAGCTACTTATTTATGTGATTAAGGTGTCACTATCACATTGCAATGCTGAAAGGAAAGTAATTTCATTTCAATGACTGTTTGTCCTGATAAACGAAATAAACTTCTACAGCTGTATTCTTTGTCATACTTTCAATTTTCCCTGGGACTTGCAAACATTCTGCAGTTACATCAGTTTAAATTGTTTATTGATTCCAATAGATTGTATAAACACTTTGGAAATATAGCTCAGTGACCTAGAAAAAGCCAGATCAATCAGAGAACTTCTCAAGATTAATTTCAAAGATGTTGTGTCGAGTCTGATCAAGGAAACAGAACCATTTTCCCTTGTAATGTGACTAAAGGCATTTATTTTCTTTTATGAGATAAGGCTCTTCTTTTTAAGGTCATACAGACAACATCTACCTTGATGGAAAAAAAAAGCAGCCAAGCAGACAGTCTAGATCTTGTGCTAAAGATTAAAATTATTTTTATGTATAATTTTATCCATTAGGATTAAATACTCCATTAGAAATGCAAACAGGATACATCCACCCATGTACTCCAGTCAAACAGCAGCTTGCGAACTTGAGAGCTGTAATAAATAGGAATTTTCAAATGTCAGACAATCCAATCATCCACTTGCACATAGAAAAAATGTTAATATCACGATGTCAGCAGGAGATACTAATACATTTCACTTCAGCAGAATTAATGCAAAAGCCTACTGCAGGATATTTGCAATGCCTATCGTGACCCCGTCCCCCACCATCACACCTCCAAGCCTTCTGAACAACTCGGTGCACGTGGCCTCCATAAAGTATTCATCAGCTTCAAAGACACAGACTTCACACTGAGCAAAACCACATACAAGGACAAACTATCAGAGGACAGAAATCAATGAAGTCCTGTAGTACCAGATTTACAATTGGCTAGAAGGCTACTGTAATTGGGGGAAGAGGGAGAAAGAACTCTTAAAGCTATGTATAACCTGAAAAAAAAACCACAGTCTGCAAGAACTTAGACATGGAACAAGAGAGATTCTCAAGCAGACCAAATATAGTTCACTCTGAAATAGACAAATCCCTTACAGATTTTATATCCAAATAGGTATTTATGCAGCATTCACATTAAGTAGAGAAGTTGCTTTATTCTCATGTAGGAGGAGCTGAAGTGATAATTCAGCACAATGCATTTGGTTCTCAGTCTATGCTGGTCTGTACGGAGCCACGATGGAAAGGCTGGGCTACATTTCAGAGGTCTGCTTAGACCACTTACAGTACTACTTAGTAAAGGTGGCAGTTTTGGTTTGTATTTTTTTAAAATGACTGATGGCTGTGAACCTTATTGTAGACGCAGTGCAAAAGTGTTTTAGAGATTATATTGGTACATGCCAGTTCCTGAATTGTAATTAAAATATACCAAGATAAAGATCCTTACATTCTCACAATATTTGAAGTGGAGGAAGTGGGCAGCTTTCACAATGCCAGGATACCACTAGGAAGCAGAAAGAATTACATACAAAGCACAGAAGCCTAAATACTGCAAGCAGAAGCTGACAGCTTAGCTGGGTACCCAATTGCTCTCCCTCTTCAGTAAGAAATGAAGAAGAGTTAAAATTTCTCACCCTTTCTATATAGTTTCTCTTACTTCCAAAAGCTCTGTTTACAGTTAGGTCTTGAAGTACTAGAGAAACATTCAGTGCAGAGTTTTTAAATTGGTAGATGCTTTATTTTCCCTCCTAAATTTCATATCTAGCCCTTAAAAATGTTGCAAGACACATCATTCTTGTGTAAAAAGTGAAAATTGATGGCTGACCGCTTCTGAGATTTCAAGGAAGGCAAATACTCGAGCTGAGGAGTTGCCCCAAAAAGGCTGAAGTCATTCTGTAGTAAATCATTAGTATGTCATAAATGGGCTGCATCTCCTTAGTCTCTTGGGAAGCTTTCCATTACCTCCTATCTTCTCTGAATTTATTAATTTATACACAAACTAGCTTTGACAGCAATCAATTTCAAATTTACTTACTGCTGCCACAAAATCAACCAATGAAGATGACAAACAGGACAGATGTTGGTCAAAGATCTGAAACAAGGTTTAGGTACTAGCAGTTTGGCAGAATATAGCATGAAATAACTGATCATCAAGTGCTGATTCCAGAAGTTAACCTAAAGAATGAAAAATAAGTATACTTTGCCAAGAGGTGACAATAAAAGATTCAAGAACAACCTCAATACTCGGCTAAATATAAGAAAAAAAAATCTGAAATAGTTACTTTTAAATGGCTAGAAAAAGATAGGAGGCAGAGCTGCAGCCTCTTCTGAGAGCAAGACTTCTTTTTTAAGAGGTCTGTTAAATTTTTCCGTGTTCTTCTTTGTAGTAGAAATTTCTCAGAACTTAAACACAGAGTCTCACAGAATTAAACCCTATCTTAGGATGCATGCCAATCTCTAAAATATTGCATGAACTACCTGTCTCTGGATTTTGGTATGCAACAAAGCTAGTACCCAAGATCTTGGGTCACACATTTCAAGATCACTGAAGCCAAAGCATCTGATGAATGGAATTTTCATGGACTTCATGTAGGATCTGGTATTCCATTAACACCTAACTATTAATATCTATCATCAGTAATATCTAACTTCATACTGGTATTTCCCTAGTACTTGGAAAGTGATAATATAAGAGATGGTAATAAAATAAGAGGAAAATTGCAGAAGGGCATCAGGTCCAGATAGTTAACCTCTGTCTTACTTCAACCAGAACTTAGTTTTTCGTTATATTTTACAGTAGGTAAGATCATATATCAGCAGTATAACCAGAGGAACATTAAAAAAAAGATGTTGAGCTGCACTTCACTCTGGAAGCAAAAGCCTGCCACTTCCAGAGTAGGAAAAAGAATCCTTTGATCCCAAATGCATGAGAAGCAGCTTTGCCTCTCAACATAACAGAAATGGTCAAATACTCCTGTGATTGCTGTAATCTCTTGAGAGAAGCATTTCTCTTGTGCCAGCACATAGCTCTATTCAGAGGACTTCTGCCATTACCTTATAGCACCCATCTCACTGTTTATTGCTCCTTGTCTCTACGAAAGGTACTTTGCTGCAGGTTTCAGTGCTGCAAGGAAGGCTTAGCTTGTAAATCCCTGAGAAAAACATCATCTTCTAGGAGTGCACGAGGACGTATCTACACCATGAAACCAAGGACTGGATTTGAATTCTGTTTTACTGGAGCAGCACTGGGAGACTGGAGTTCAAATGCTCTGTCACAAAGCATAGACTTATGCTTACCTACACACAAAAGGCTACCTGTCTATGGGCAACCAACCAGACTGTTGGGGCTATTCAACTGCAATGGCATCCTGCTGGCCACACATCACGGGCAGGAACTAAAGAGTGTGTATGTACCACTGGTCTGCACAGGAGCTAGGATCAAAATGTGAAGCAGAGTTGTATGGCCACATCACTCTGAGCTGAGTGCCAGTTTGCAACAGCAGCAAACGTTTTTCTTAGGTGACCTAAATAATGAAAAATATAAAATCAAAGCATGGAAAATAAATATTCAAAACTTAGCTGCCTTGTTCAACAGTGTATTTATTTACAGTTTTGCTTCTGGCTCAAACACAGTGGAAAGGGGAAGAGGGTTGATTTGTGGTCTCCCTAGCAGGCTTTAAAAATAGGGACTGGGAACTGATAGAAAGGACACAAAAGGGTTCAGGGTACCTTATGCGAGACCCCAGTTTATCTATCAACTGAAAGTATTGCAATGGCTTAACAACTAACTCTATAGGGCTCTGGAAAGTACTCCCAAGAAGGCAGACACTCACTTCACACTACTTTTTTTTTTTTAAAAAAAAAACAAAACCAAAAACAAAAGGAAAAAAAGGAATTAAAGGTCGAGTAGGAGACTCAAGTTCCATATTGACTGTGGGTTGACTAGCATTTAAAATATACCCTGGATATGCTAAGGTCTTTGTCTTTGTAATTCAAAATAAAATTGAGGAAATAAACACCAAATAATGTGAGATAAGATGCCGCATTTTTGCAAATCTGCTACCACTGATATACTTTCAGTAGTACTGATTTTTCCTCTATTTCTATAATCTGACAGCAGCATTTGCCTGCATTTCCAAAACTGACCTCTGATCCACGTTTGTCATTGCAAGTATAACTTTCAGCCTACAGTCAGCTAAAACCACTGTTATCTCAGCAGCATGAAATAAAGATCAAATTTTTTAGACTATGCCCTTTACCTTCTCATTTTGAATTTTTTGATGACAGAAGTAAATGCTTACATCTTTAACATAAAGAGACGTTACATCTCTAAAGAGCTGAGAACATTTGTTCTAATAAGAAGAAACAACATAATTTCACAAGATCACAAATCTTGTCTGGAGACAGGCTCTTAAAGAGAAAAAGCAAGAATGTTCAGACAAGTTCCAGATTAACTGGCAGATGACTAAATTACTATGCATGCAACAGCAGCTCAAAACATAGAAGACTTTCCTGCTACCAATATAAAGGACCCTGTCAGCTTTAAATATAATGCATTTTAAAAATTACACACCTCCAAAAGGAATCCAACTGAAAAAAGGATTAAAAAAGTCACCATTACAATCTCTCTTCTCCATTGTCAGAAGAGAGCGGGGAGGTAGACGTGACAAAGAAACCTCCTCCAAACCCCAGATACATCCTAATCTCTGTATAACAGTTCTCCAGAAATACTATTACACAGAACAACAAACAAGCAAGTTTTCAAGCAGAGGAGGATGTTAAAACACCAACTTGATCTTTACAAGTATTAAAAATTCAATCCCCACCTGCCATCTGTCATTTTTCTTTTTAAGGAAAAAAAACAGAGACAATTCTTCTATTTTTGAAAAACCCATTAGGCTGTGTGTAGGCTTTAGAACATACCCTGTGAGCACTGACTAGCTGAGCTACTGATGGTAACAAGGAAGAAACAGCCTGGAATGAGTGTGAACTAGCCACCAAAGTACATCTCCAATCAGGGCCTGAGTAAGCACTTCAGCATTTCAGACAGGAGATGAGTTGGATCCTCCACTTCCCCCCATGACTTTATGTATTTGCTTACTCAAGCTCAGCTTTGGATACAGTTTTTCTGCTCCCAGAAAGTCCTCTAGTCATTTACTAAACTGCATGTACAATAGAAGCATTGTGCACTAAGTGCACGTTCTGTTCAGC